TATATGATTGATTTTTTATATTTAAGAGTTTATTTACATATATTTATATTTATTAATTTAATTATACATTACAATAATAAACTTACAATTTTATATTGTATTGTAACTATAATATTGCCAAATTTTTTATGTGAATTTAGAGTGGTAAGTAGCTTCCAAAATGTGGAAGAGAGTTCATGTTACCCATCACTAACAGAGAAACACAGAGCACATGAAGTCACATGCTTTCCACCACAATAATTTGGGTTGCTTTGTTGCTTTGCCTTCTGCTCCCTTTCAGTTATATCACTTTCCAATTTCGATTGAAGTGCGCTGTACTTGAAAAATGGAATGATTATCTCTTGCAATGTGAGAAAATGGGGAGTTTCCATATCCTTCTTTTGCAATGCATTTTCAGTTCCCACCATCCCCGACAAAAGTGTAGCAATATTTATCAAAAAGAAAGGGAAATACTGAAATAGGCCTTACTCAACCACCTCTTATAATTCCAAGTGTGGTAGAAAAAAACTTTCCTCACCATTTTACATTTTCATTATAGTAGAAAGTACATATCCAGTTCAATTTGGGATTAATAATTTGTTGATTAAAATAAAAAAATTTAATTTTTTTAAATAAAATTTTGAATTTGAATATTATAAATAAAAAATTAAAAGTTGAGTCAATTTCTTTTAAATAAAATATGATGTAATTTTATTTTTAATTAATTAAGATTTAATATAATTATTAAATATATATATATAAAAAAAAAAAAACCCTTAATTTGACAGATTTTGTTTTGAGCGCCCGTTTGACATGATAGTTTTTAGAGATAGCTAGCAGTATGTTTAGTCAACTAAACAATCTAATCAACTAAAGGGACTAAATCCCATACTTTTCTGAAAGTAGCATAAGAGATCTAGCTCAAAGGCACTTTTCTGAAAAATTACATTTTAATTACTTAAATACTATCCATCTCATCAACTGTAAAGGGTTATTTAGTAGGTGTATTAATATTTTAATAATAATCAAGATTTAAATTATGACATTGTTATGATATAATTTCTCATCTCCTCCCTTCAAATTTTACCTATTCAAAAAAAATAAAAAAAAAAACCATCCACCAGTTTTCTGGGGCATTGGAAGCCGCATGCCAAACACAGCCTAAATTCATTTCTTTCTCCAGCTTCTGGGCTAAAGTGAAGGAGAATTTTAAACTATCTGCTCTGGCTACTGAAGTCCCATCAATCCCAATCTAATTTTGGGAACAACCAATGTCTCTTTTTCTGCCACTACACTTTTACAACTTATTTTTTGACAATCGTAAGGATTGACATTAAGTTTGAATATCCAGTGTTTTGTCTAAATTCAGACAGGAATATAATTACCAGATTTTGTTAGGATCATAAGATAGAACAATATCCATGATAGAAAACAAGGACTTCATTCACTTTAGCAAAATGAAATAGGGTAATAGACACAATCAAATTCAATAAAAATTTCCCTAATTAGAAGCCAAAAGATCACACAGAGATGAGATAATCCACAACTATAATTCTATAATTTCCACTTTCCAATTTCCATTAATGATAATCGAACACATCCAAACACAACCCAGAAAAATTCATAAAAAATAAAACAAGAAATACCCCACAATCACCTCCATCCATGAACCACTTGGGTACAGGTATCTTTGATCCACCGGATGCTCTTCCTCAAGGACCCCTTCATCTTGCCCTCCACCGCATACACCTTGTATCCGGCGACTCTCTTCTTCCTCTGCAACTCAGGATCGTTGAAGCTCCAGCCTTTTGAAGAAGAAGAATTTGAAGATGACCCATAAGTGCTTTTGCTTTTCTTGATCTTAATATCTTTACCCACTTGATTCGGTGCTTGAGCAGGATTGGCATAACTAGCACTGTAACATCTCAGGTCTTGCATATTAGTCGGTACCGACGTCGACTTGCCGCCGTAGTAGCTCTCCATCTGCATCCTCCCTTCTTTGTATGACTTTGATCTGAAATCATCCATTGACAATATCAAAGAAAAAGATGAATAGATTCAAGATTGAAAAGTGTGTTTTGAGTAGAAAACAAGAGGAAAACAGAGGAGATGTTGTTGCTTTTATTAGTGGAGCTATTCAGATCACACTTTACTTGTGGCAATTACTTTATATATATATATAATTTTTTTAAAAAGCATTTTCTTAAAAAATTTGCAGTTTTACCGTAAATTAAAGGGAAGATTACCCCAACATTCAACTTTGAAAAGTCTATCCTGCATTCGATCATTAATCTTGTGCAGCTCAATACAGATGAAATGAAGAAAAATAAATTTTTTGTAAGGTGACACTACATTGAACATATAAAAATATTAACCCTAAAAGGTATTAATTATATATT